ATCTCACAAAACAATAAAATAGGTGAAAAAATAGGTGAAAACAGGTGAACATAGGTGAAAAGAGACAAAAATCTTACAAACCAATAGAATAAGCAAACAATGTGAAAACAGGTGAAAATAGTGCAAAACAATAAAATAGGTGAAAAATAGGTGAGAATAGGTGAACACAAATGAAAATAGCGCAGAACAAGAAAATAGGTGAAAAGAGGTGAACATCTCACAAAACAAAAAAAGATACAAAATAGGTGAACAATCTTGCGAAACCAGAATATGTGAGACATATGTGAAAATCAGTAAACATGTGCGACAATATGTGAAATAGGTAAAGATATCAAGTAGTAATGAGTGAAACAACAACCGCCAAGAAGATATGGCAGAACAACAGCACCGTGGCGCAAGGAAGACTCATCCAGATCCTCAGTTTCCATTGCATCGTTTCTGTCACCAAGCAGTTTGTTGCCCGGTGACGCAGAGGATAACAATGGTGGGGATGCTGATGCAGAGGGTGATGCAAAGGATGACGATGGTGGGGACGCTGATGCAGAGGCTGCAGAGGGTAGAGTGCTTTTCCCAGGAAGGCACAACAAAAAACGGCGACTTTCGTGTTTGAAAATAGTTCCATTCATTCAGAGAACATTTCGTGAAAGGGGCGTCAACCCCAATTCAGTGCAGCCAAAGGACCGCCGTCAATACGTCAAAGACGCATTGAATGCTGCTGTGGCTGCTGACCAGTCCTTTCAATTTTGGTTGGGAGCTGACAGAGTGTACAGCTCAAAGGCGGCTCTTGAAAGAGCTCTACTCTATCTGTATTGGGAGGATGTTGTTGCAGGCTTTCCAATTGTGTAAAGCGTTCAGCTGTCACATGCCGCCTGTTTGTCCAAAAGGCACTGCCTGGCCGGGCCTGGCCTTTCTCAAATAGGCTCTATAGACATTCTTGTTTTTCCTTGCCAGCACACAAATCCTTAATCCATCGCCAGTTAGCAAAGACCAAAGACGTCAGCAAGTGAATTTGTTTTTCACCTGCCACCTAGCCGCGGTGTGACCTGGTTGCAATCTATGTATGCAAGATTCTGCGGCTCAACGGCCTTTGATTTTTCACCCTGATGCCTCCGACCAAAGCAAGCCAGATGTTGAAGTCTGCGGCAGCTGCGCGCAGGCCCAGGTCGTCCAAACCCAAGGCCAAGTCCAAGCCAAGTGCACCAAAGGCAAATGCTAGGCCAAGGTGCATCAAGAAGCCTAAGGCTTCTGCTCGCCGCAGGGGTGGTGTTTTGAGAAAGCCAAGCGTACAGGAACCCAACCCGTTTGATGTACCTCCGCCTTCCGGTCAGCAAATGTTGTCGGTGAAGACCGAAGCGGGTGAAGACTCGAACTCGAACCAACAGTCATCCCGCCGCAAGAGGGCTCGTTTGGTTGTGGAGCCGCGACAGACACCGGCGTTGCCAGAATGACCTAGAGACTCCAGCGACCCCACCGGGCAGGGCGTCCGCCGCGTCCGCTGCCTGCTTTTTGCACCTCTGCGAAGATGGAGATTTGCCTCCCAGTCCTGAGCCCCCTTCGGGCCAGGAGCCCCATCGCCACGATGCAGCAAGGTCCAGAACGGAGATGTTTTCGTTTCCTTTGAGGAATGTACAAAGAATCCATGAGCATTTTGGCCTTGATGCTGTTGCCCGACTGTGCAAGAACCTGTCCCGCCTTTCCGTCATGTCCCTGTATTCGGGCCTTGGCGGAGCTGAGATTGCTGTATCTCTGACTACAAGCGCTGCGAGGGCCTACGTGCAAACGAACCAGTTGGAGGAGCAGGTTGGATACCCCGCCAAGCCAAAGAACGTGCTGGCCTGCGATTTCAATCAGGATTGCCAAAGAATTTTGCGAGCGCACACAGACTTTCGCTCAAGAACTTACAGTTTGATTTGTTTTTAGGTATCTTGTTTCATGAATTGTGTGAAGCCCGATTTTACCAACCTTAGCACATCTCAGTGGTCTACGGAACCACAGGTGCGGGGTACTCATGTTCTCGTCCGCAGGGGCGCCTCTTGAGCTCAGACTTAGACGGAGTGTTAAAAGGGTGGCACGGACCGCCTAAGCCATGTTTTGATCCTCCTTGTTTGATCTCGTCTTTCCGCTTTCGCACGACGTTCGCAATCTACGCAACTTGGCGGTTTGACACATTGGTGCCGCGGAGCCTTGTACGTTCAGGGCCAGTTTTTCCTTTTTGGTTTGTCCCCTCGAGGCTTCTCAGAGAGATGTCCAAAGATGTTGGTCAGGGATCCTCCTTCAACAGGGTTCCTAGTTGGGATGGCCGACCTGAAACCTTTTTTCATTACATCACAGAGATCAAATGGCATTTAGCTGGAACGAAATCCTCAGAAAGACCGTATGCAGCAGCAAGATTAGTTCGTCGCATCTTGGAGAGCGATTATCCTTCCCTCAAGTCCTTGGCCTACAAACTGGACCCAGCGGACTTCACCACCGAAGATGCTGTGACTCGTCTGATATCATTTTTGGAGGCTTCGCCAATGAACCGGCAGCCAATTCCGGATGCTGGGCGGCAGTTGTCCGCCTACTACAGGCGACTCAGTAGGAAGCCACAGGAAACCATTCCTCAGTTTTTGGTTAGGGAAGAAACGCTGTATGACTCCATGTGGCGAGCCCTTCAAAGGTTGCTTCGGGAAAAGGAATTGGATTTCGACCAGTATGATTGCTCTCTAGATGAATTGAAAGATTTTTGCGGCATGGCGGACAAGAGTTTCTATGTCCCAGGGCAGTTTGAGCATGAGTCAACTCACGGGGCCTTTTCTCAGGGTTCCGGGAGCGGGAGTGGGAGCACTCATCCATCTCGTTTCGCTGGAAACCGTGAACCAAATGCAGAAGCAGAAGATGAAGACCTGCCACAGCCGCCACTGTCCCGATCGCAGTCCGAATCTCACCACACTATGCCAATCGGTTCAAGTCCTGAGAAACCTTCCAAGCGCCTTGACTTGATTGAGAGGTTGATGCAGAAAGGCTTGATCCCGCTCGCGGCCTTAGACATTATTCGAGGCTGGCTTTTGTTGGAGTGTGCGAGCGCCACTGAACTGGACAAGAGTCTGGTCAAAGCAGCAACGCAAAACAAGCTCGGATACCAGAACATTCGATCAGCCTTGTTGTCACTCCACGAAGACCGTGGTATGCGAGGGATCAACAATCCTCCCAAGGGTTTTGGACGGGGCAAAGGACATATGGCAAACATAGTGGAAGAGTTTGAGGGTGAGGACATGCAGTACCAAGACTATTGGGGCAGTAGTCATGACTATCCTGAGGGTGAATACCTTGAGGATGGTTACTATGGTGAAGAGTTTCAGGAGACCGCAGATGATCCTCAAGCTGAAGAGTCTGAGGTGAATCCAGAATCCATGACCGAGGACCAAGCTTTGCATGTGATTTCACAGCTTCAAGAAGAAGAGAAAGAGCTGAATGCCATGATGGTTGATGCTCAGCGCAACTTGGAGCAAGCTAGACGTGCAGTCCAAGAAGCAAAGAAGGATCGTGGCTGGAAGAGCTCAGGTTCAAAGGGTTCTCCACCACACGGTTCCCAGAAGGGCACCAGCACGTTCATGCAGGGCAAGGGACATCGGTCACAGACCAATTTCTTTCAGCAGAAGGGGCATGGGTTTCATGGCAAGGGCGGCTACCACAACCGTCCTTTCGGTTCCTCTGGTTGGCGTCCACCGCAACAGAATCGTTTTGCAGGGCGTTCAAACTTTCAGAATAGGAATCAGATGTCTCAGAGACCTTCCTCTCATGCTGGGATGTTCATGGAGCCTCAAGAGCACCACATGATGACTATGACAGACATGATCCCCGAGGCAGAATTCTCACCAGACCTTTCCTTTTTCCCAGTGAGCCAAGCGGATTCACGTGCTGCCATCCGACCTGAAGAGGCTATCATCGATTCAGGTGCAACAGTGTCAGCCGGTGGCGAGACAGCTGTGAAGAACCTTCTCCACAGTTTGGCCCAATCGCGGCCAGACCTTAGCTTGACAGTCGTCACAGAAGATCGGCCATATTTCCGCTATGGTTCGGGATCATGGGGTCAGGCTAGTTACAAGGTGAAGCTCCATTTTGGTTCCATAACCCTACAACTGTATGCACTTCCTTCACCGGGTGTTCCTGTTCTGTTGGGTATGAGAGAAATGCAACAACTGTGTATGATAGTGAACCTCTCCAATGGTCATGCAGTTGTTTTGGGCGAGATGAGACACCTCAGAATGACTCCCAAGAGACAGATTCTTTTCAGCTTCTTGAAGGACCTTCCCGTTCAACGACAACAACATTCTGCAGCCAGATCTCCGAAAGCCGAATTAAGGACAGACCGAACTCGTTCATCAGCACGTGTGGCACAGCAGTCACAGCAGTTGATGACCCTTTTAGATTTTTCGTTCGAGCCCAATTTTGAAGAACAGCCATGTTTTGTGGTACAAGAACCACAACAGTCGGATGGCATTTTCGCAAACTCCATGTTTGAGCATTTGTGTGTTTCACCAGAGCAGTGGCAATTTTTGCAATCTAGCGCATCTTCAAGCTCAAAGCAAGTGACCTTCGATTTGAGTCAGCCTGCCGAATCTGTGATCCAATATGGCAAACACCGAAGAGTTGGAGAACAAGATTCAGGCGGCAGTGGAGCGCGCTTTGGCCTCAGCTTCGGCGAAAGTGACGCCGAAGGCGAAAGCCAAAAAGGGGCCGAAGGGAGAGCTGGATCCAACTCGGACCATGGGAGTCCATACCCAAGATCCTCGTGCGAGCAAGGACTTTTGGCCGTGCAAAGGAAATCACGACCCCAAGCAGTACTCCAACCCTCACGGAGCTTTGGCTGGAGCATCAGGTCAGAGCACTCACATGGACCTGCCTTCCAATGTCGTCCGGGCCATGGAGCACCTTCGTATGGAGGGATTCAAGGAGAACGATGTCGACTCACGTCTTGTGAAGAAGACGATTCGTTACATCGAGGGCCAAGAGCTCATCAAGGCCAAGAAGCCCGGGAAGACTCACGGCGACTTGGACAAAAGGGAGAAAGAGAAGGGATATCCAGCAGCCAGCGCCTCCAATCCGACTCCGGGGCCGGAGATTCACAACTTGGCCAGCGACGACGATTCGTGGGAACAGCCAACTCCCATGAAGAAGAAGGTCGAGAAGAAGACAGAATCACCGTAGAGAGCTTGAAGGAAGATTCATTTCTCCATCCCTTTGGCAATCACCCCAGTGAGAGCAAAGAAGACATGCAGCACAACGAGCTCACACCGGATGCAGTCCTGAGGGATTTGACAGCTAGTTTGAAGTCTTCAGTTTTTAGCATTGAACAGCAGTTGAGATCGCTTCAAGAGCAACGGTTTAGTTTGTGGGAGATGTGTTGTTCTCCAAATTCGACCTTATCCAATGAAGTGATTCGCAATGGATTGAAAGCTCAAAGATGGACAATCGAAGAGGGCTTTGACCTTGAGAAGCCAGAGTGTGTTGCTGAAGCGATCAATGCACTGAAGAGGGATTGTCCGACAAAAATTTGGGCATCTTTGCGTTGCACTCCTTGGACATCGATACAACACATCAACCAACGGACACCACAACAAGTGAACAATTTGCGGAGAATGCGTTTGAGATCAAGAAAACAACTTCGACACATCTTGGAGATTTTTCGCCAAGCACTGCTCCAGGACTCTGGAACGGACTTCTACTTCGAGTGGCCAAAGAACGCAACGGAAGGCTGGCGACTTCGTGAATTGGAACAATTTGAACAATGGTACAATGCAACCTTTTCCAAACCTCTTTACAGAACAGTGGTCCATGGTTGTATGGTTGGTTTGTTGGATGAAGAGGGCAATCACCTACACAAGCCGTGGCAGATCCTGACAAGCGACCAACACTTCCATATACATGCTGGGATTACATGTGACGGACAACATACACACAAAAGTATTTTGGGTTTGGGAACACATGCAGTTGCAAAAACAGCCTTTTACCCTGTGAAGTTTGCGAAGAGAATTGTTCAGGTTTGGAAGCACGAGCAATTCTCAGCATCAGAGCCCAAGATTTTACAATCACTCCACACGATGGACCAGGCTCAAGATCCTCATCTACACCCTGACCGTGCACTTCAAGCTTTTCAGAATCTGGAAGATGCATATCCGGTCGAACGCAAACGTACACACACTGAAACGCAAGATGGGGAAATGGAGACAGATCAAGCAGCAGAAGACGAAACTCTGGAACAGGACCCAACAGTTTCAAACAGTCAAGGTGGTAGCAGCATACTTCCTGAAGTATCTCATGAAGAACGTGAAAAAGGTAAAGTTCTTTTGCACCGACTTCACAAATCCGCAGGTCATCCTTCAAACCAAAGTCTAGCCCGACTGATTCGAGATCGAAAACTACCTGGATGGCTAGTGGATGAAGCGAAGAAACTGCAATGCACTCAATGTTCTGAGGTACTCCCTGGAAATCAACTAGTTCTTCACCGTTCCATTGGAGAACATCCGAGACCTTGGCAGATGGTGGGCATGGATGTCTTCGAACTACATTTTCCATCACAGAGGGTTAAGGGACGTTTTCTGTTGATGACATGTCTTGCAATGCATTTTACAGCAGTTGCACCACTTTGGATTGGAAAATTTTCACAGACTGGAACGGACTCTGGTGAGAAACTGATTTCCACGTTTTGTGATGTTTGGCTACATCATCGTCCTCGACCAGAATGGGTGGTAGTAGACTCACAGTCAAGCCTCATCAACGGTTATTTCCCTACATTCATGCACACAGCTGGAATCGGTATGTTAGCTTCTCCAGGGGAAGGACATTGGATTCATGGGAAGACGGAAGCTATGGTACGAACCATCAAGCGTACTATGAAACGAATACGACAAGAACATCCTCTACTAGCTCCTTCAATTGTTGGCACACTAGCTTCACATGCAGCAAACCACACTGTTCGTTCTACTGGTTTTTCTCCGGTGCAATGGGCCTATGGTTATGACACCGATGAGTTAGAGAGAAAGAATGACCCGTTGCAAGCGAATGGAGAGAAGCTTTTTGGTCCTAGACATTTCAAAGAATTTCAATCCATGCGTGCTCGAGCAGGTGAACTTTTCCGTGAAGAATCTGCACGTCAAGCTGTGTCTCGACTATGGAATTCTGCTCCTCGACCTTTGATAGATTATCAGGTTGGAGACTTTGTGATGATTTGGCGCACTATGACATTGAAAGCACGAAAACGGGATGAAAACTACAATCCAGAAGCAAGATTTTTTGGACCAGGACGAATAGCATTGATAGAGCCTACAATTTTGGAAGACAAGCGGAAGGCTATCATTTGGGTTCTTTGTGGAACAAACTGTATAGGTGTGCACGTGAACAACTAAGACCAGCAACTGAACAAGAGACAGTGGTTGAGATTCTGAGATCTGGTGAGATTTTGTCGAAACCTCGTACTGAACTTCTTTCACGACTGAAGAATTTCACAGATGTTTCAAAAGAGCCTTTTTCTCCAGATCATCCTGAATACCAATCAGAGGAGACTGAGCGGAAGAAAGCTCGACTGGACACTGTGTCAGCTCTGCGTGCCAGGTGGGAACAATTGGTATCGATTAACCAGAACCGGAGGCAGGAAGGACTTCCTCCATTGATGCAGCTTCCAGCCCAAGTGTTGGAACAAAGTCCAATGATGTATACTTTTGAAGATTCTGATCCACAACATGTTGAATGTTCACCCGGAGTTCAAACAGCAGAAAACACAGTGAGGAACATTCATCTTTTGGATCAAGAGACGCAGAAACTGGTTTTGGAGAGAATCCACTTGCTGGAAGAGGAAGTCAAGATGAAACAAGAGACAGTGCAGCTTCATGAAATGATCACTCAGGAACGCGAAGATGAAGCTCATTTCCTGTCCTTCATCCAGGACGACTTCCAGAGACCCGAGAAGGACCGTCAATGGGTCTTCCAGATTGAGTTCGACGTTTCGGAAGAGATTGCTGATGCTAATCCGTTTTTGTACGCGAAGCGAGTCTTGGAAGGGAACAAAAACGTAGAGATTACCTACAAGCAACTGTCTCCAGAGCATGTTCCTTTGTTTGATGAAGCAAAAGCCAGAGAGGTCGCTGAAGTTTTGGGTTCAATGGCACTTCGCGCAGTACAATCTAAAGAAGAACTGAAAGAAGCTTTGAGCCATCCTGAACGCCATATTCCCATGAGATGGGTCCTTACTTGGAAACCGATTCAACCTCCTGAACCTCCGCCTCCAGGTAAACCAACTTCAGTGATGCCAGACGGTAGTTGTAAAGCTAAAGCTCGGGTAGTACTTCTAGGGTTTAAACATCCAGACCTTGTGAAGAGAAATCCAATCACAGGTCAGCCAGAACTTAAGACAGCAGCACCGACCATTTCACGCGCAGGGAGAAACCTTCTCCTTCAGTGTTTTGCTTTCGATGAACATGAGATTGAATCTGCCGATGCTAAATCTGCATTTTTGCAAGCTGCTAATTGTGAAGAAGATAGGCGCTTGTGGACGAAGGCAGTTCCAGAGATTGCAGTGTCTCTTGGACTGAAACCAGGGCAGTTGATGCGTGTCTTGGGTGCCATTTATGGCCTTACCAATGCTCCTCGCATCTTTTGGCAAGATGTAGATTTGAATTTCCAAAAGCTCGGTGGGATTCCTCATCCCATGGATCGATGCATTTGGGTTTTTCGTGATCCCGAAGGGTCGGTTTTTGCCAGAATTGGTAGTCAAGTAGATGACTTTCTAATGGCAGGAAACCCCAAGAATAAGTTTTGGATTGCTTTGAGAGAAAAGATAAAGGGTATGTATCAATGGAGTCCTTGGAAAAAGGGTGATTTTGTGTATGCCGGATGCCGAATTCGCCAACTCACTTCCTACTCCATCCATGTCTCGCAAGAAGATTTTTGCAACTCTTTGTCTCCTGTGGCAATTCAATCAGACGGCTCTCGCAGTGACAAAGATCCGATGACTGCATCGGAAACTTCGCAAGCTCGAGCGCTTTTGATGAAAGCGCAGTGGAGATCTTTGCAGAGTGCTCCTCAATACGCTGCTCGAATTGGCATAGCTTCTTCCACGTTGTCGGATGGGAAACTGGCAAACTTGAGAGAAGCAAACTCTATCATTCGGGATATGCGTAAGACTGCAAAGGAAGATCTGGTTTTTCACAATTTCAATTTTGGAAGAACGAACAGATTGAAATACACAGATCTTGTTTTCTTGCATTGGGGTGATGCTGGACACAACAACAGACCGACAGGTGGTTCGACCGGCGGGTTTGTTTCTGGAATTTCTTCACCGGAAATCTTGAAGGGCAATGAAACGCCTGTAACCTTGATTGATTGGAGATCCTGGAAACTCCGTCGTCCTGCCAGAGGGACGAACTGCTCAGAAGCTCAAGGAATTGCAGAAGCTGAAGACAAAGGCTGGAGAACTAGACTTATGTTTGCAATCCTGTACGGACACACCCTTCGACTTGGGAAAGCAGACACTCTGACTTCCATGTTCACGAGTCTGTTGATTATGGACTCTCGCGGGTGCTATGACCTACTGGTGAGCAATGAATCTCTTGCCATGTCAATGTCAGACTCTAAGGCTGCAATAGACCTACTTCATGTCCAGAAAGGAATACAAGATGGTACAAACTGTTTTGCTACGTGGGTGCCTTCAGACCTCAACCTAGCTAATTCTCTCACAAAAGCTTCCATGGATGCATATAGAGAGATGAAACTGTTTCATACCAACAAAAGCTGGATAGTGAAGTTCAACGAAGAGTTCATTTCTGCTCGTAAGATGCAACGACTGCGAACACAAAAGAAGAAAGAAGAGCAGAAACAAGGCCTGCATTTTGCAGATATGCCAGAAGTTTGGATGGATGATGCCTGGGCCAACCTTTTTGCCACAGCTTATCTAAGATAAGCGATCGCAGATATCTTCTCTTCAACTCCAAAAGCACTGAACCTGTGCTAAGTTGAGAGGAGTTTCATTGGTGTTTCATGAATTGTGTGAAGCCCGATTTTACCAACCTTAGCACATCTCAGTGGTCTACGGAACCACAGGTGCGGGGTACTCATGTTCTCGTCCGCAGGGGCGCCTCTTGAGCTCAGACTTAGACGGAGTGTTAAAAGGGTGGCACGGACCGCCTAAGCCATGTTTTGATCCTCCTTGTTTGATCTCGTCTTTCCGCTTTCGCACGACGTTCGCAATCTACGCAACTTGGCGGTTTGACACATATCTTATAGCAATCTGTTGGCTGACCTTGAAACTATTCGTTGGCCGGCCTTCATTGGCTTTTTGATTCTATGATTCTATAAAGCCGCATTGAGTTTCGGCATGACTTATTGACTCCACAGCCAAGGACCCGCCAGAATTTCTGGTACCATCGCTGGAGGATTTCTTGAAGAAAGGGTCCCCGGAGGTCCTCCTCCAGCTGATTGAGTCGAAGAGGGATGAGTGTGCAGCCCTCTTCAAACGAATGCAGACTTCACCAGACCAAGCTGTGGCCAAGGCAGAAGCTAAGGTCAAAGCTGCCAGCAAGAGAAAGAACCAGGAGGCAGCCTTTGATCAGGCCAAAGTCAGGACAGAAGCTGCCCAAAGCGTGCGTGATGCCAAGAAGAGCTTGGCTCAATTGTCCAAAGATCTTGTGTTGGAATTGGTGAAGAAGATTGAATGCGAGGGCATGTTGAAGGATGCGATTTGTACCGGCAGCGATCGGCCAGTAACTAGACGACAGTAGTAACTATGGGGTTTGGTAAAAGTTTTGAGATACACAACAAGAAGAGGCATGCACATACGCATTATGCATTGCGTGTCCTTTCCTTCAAGTTCAGTTGGAAGGAATTGCATTTTCCTTTCCAGTGTTATTAAACCTCAGGTATCGATGAAGGAGCTAGGCAATCTTGAGCTTCTACTGGCTGTGGTGGGCTCTACTTGCAAAGACTGGACTGGTTTATCGGGCTTTCTGGACATGTATGTTCAATCTTTTTGAATGTTTGTATACTGTAGATTGTGTATCGCAATTCTTGGTTCCTATTTGTGCGTTCAACGGTTCAACTTCCAATGATTCCAATGGTTCCTGAACCAAGATTTGGGACATTCTATGACAATTGAACTGCTTTGGTTGCGGTTATGAATGCTGATCAGGAGCTCGATGGGCACTCGGTCTGGTTTTATGGGAAAATCAGTCATGGCGTTCGCAATCATGGCCTCGGTACTTCGAAAAGTCTCGCCCCAGCTGTTCGTGCACGAATGCACGCAGACTTTCGATGCCTCCATCTTCGCAAGCCTTTTTCCCAACTACGCTGTGGAGAGCGTGCTGACGCACCCGACAGACTTCGGCTTCCCTGTTCGTAGAACAAGGTTATACACTTTGTTGGTTCGAGATGATTTCAAGTTGCTGCGTGGCATGGATGATCTTCACCGCCTGTATATTTCCCCAGGGATGGACTGCAGCGCATTTCGTGCTGCGGAGGAGCAAGAGGCTGGGTTGGAAGTTGGACTTGACTTAACTTGAAATGAAAAAGACTGACCCACGACTGACTCTCTTTCCATTTCTTTCCGAGTTCACATTCTTCGGCTACTTAGGGTTTGTGAATGCGTATGACTTTGTCCATTTGTCCCTGATGGCCCGTGACCCCCTACAGGTCCAAGACATGCGGGCACAAATGGCGCAGAATGCACCTCTCTTGTCAAATCGCAATCTTGTGGTTTGATATTTTGATGTGGTTTGCTTTCAGGCTTTCAGGACCCAGTTTAAGTTGTATACTGCAGACACGTATCATATCTCTGTAATTTTATATTTGCTGCTGTTTCCTTCATTCACCAGGCAAAGAAAACAGTACATTCTGCTTGGTTGGACCTGCTGCCAGTGGCAGCCGGGGTTCACTTGCAAAGTGCGTTGAAGCTGGAGAAGGTCCGCGCTGCACTCGCGCGGTCGCCCGCCATTGCCATGCGTGAAGTTGCCATCAACCTTTCCCAGAACCCACTATGCCAAGAACATTTTGGGAGCGTGGCCCCTGTAGTGCTGGCGTCTAGCACTTGCATTTGGGGCGTGCTCCAGGGAAGGCCTTACACTGCCAAGGACTTCGGTTTGGGATGTTGATGTTGGGGGCTGGTGGGATGGGTCTTGAAAATGGAAGGCTCCTTAGCTAGGACTGAGGAGATGACTGAGGAAAGTGATGTGATAAGTAAAGAACTGTTCATTCCGATCCCATGTCATGTCATGTAGATTTATGTTCTGTTGCTGCCTTTGACCATCAGGAAATGCTTGAGATGCAGGGCATCCCGATTCACACTGATGCACTGGAAGCAGCTCAGATTTCTCGACCGTTCTTTGACCCTGGAGTGGTCTCTGTCGCAGCGCAGAAGCGTCTCGCTGGGAACAGTTTCCAGCAGGGTTGCATGTCAGCATTCCTGTGTTTTGCTTTGGCATTTGTGATGCCTGCAAAAGAGTGGGATGAGAACAAGATCCCTGTGGCCATCCGACCACGGCTGGCATCCAATGCACGCGTGTGGTGCTTGGGTTCTTCTTCTGAGGCTGAGGATGGTGGCAGTGAGGAGGAGTAGAATGGGACAAGGGTGAAAACATCCCGGTTTTTGAACGGTTTAGGATGCTAGTGGATGAAACGATGTCCAGGCAATGGCAGACATTGCCAAATGCCCATTTGGAAGAGAGAGACAGAGAGACGACTTAGGTGCAAAAACGTTTGTATAGTTTGCAGCAAGCAGCGCACTTTAGCAAATTGGAGCTCAGCGCTTTGGCTCCACTGTAGAAATCTCTTGCTAGTCTAAATCTATTTAGGGCATCGGCCATTTGTGATTGGGTTCCCTTTGAGTAACAGAGTGACAAGATCTGTAGATCGCAGCCGCAGCCGTTTTGGGTTGAAACCTGCCGCATGCCAAACAGTCAGTCACTGTCCGGGTTTGGAGTTGGACATCATGTCCGACGTCACCCCTCCTGATGACTGGACCGACTGCCTTGTATGCGAAACCACTTTCCGCAGCGCAGACTTCTCTTCTAGGAGGGCGACCCGTTACCAAGGTCACTGTCCCAAGTGCAGTAAGGAGCTTCGAGCCATTCTCACTGCAAGTAAGACTGGCAGCAGTGCTAGCACTGGCGACGGCAACGGGGACGGGGACGAATCTACCAGCAAGTACATGCAGGCTTTAGCCAAAGATGACCTGGAAAAGTACCGGAAGGTTTTTGCAGAGTACCGAGAATCCTCATCCTCTTTTACACGTGGTCGGGGGCACCAACGCCAGAGCTTCAATCCCAGATCGGTGCTTGGGCTGAAACAATTTAGATTCAGATATGATAGATTATTTGTCGCGTTAAGGTTTGTTCCTTTCAGCTCACTTGTAGGTTCAAGTGGCCCCACAGTCCCAACCCCCAACACATCCCATCCCAATCCACAAGGGTGTTCATGTTTGTCAAGGTCCTCTATTCAGAAGTCACTGAGACCATCAAGAGAGCCCGGACAGGAACTGGCTGGAAGGCGCTTCGGCACAGTGCCTACATCCAGTACTACACAAGCGAACTCCCACCAGAGGATCGCTTGACCCGACAAGAGGCAGAGCTTGCTTGGATTCGCGATGTGAACCCCCAAAATGCAGCCACAGAAAAGGACAGAAACTGCGGCTAAAAGCACTGCAAACAAATAAGTGCCTGATGTTTCAATGGTTCTGTTACGTTCAGGAATTATGGGATATTGTTGAAATGACTTGTTACGTTCTGCTATGTTTAAATGACTTGGCAGTGCAGCATTCCCGTTGAGATCCCTTGCCTCGAAGGAGATGATTGAAATCTACAATGCCAAGACTGGCCGAACGGAGAAGGTGCAACACGTGTGGGTGCAAACGGCCATCAGCAAGCACAAGGAGCACATCCACGATGACAAGAGATCTGCAGCAGTGGTTGAGCAGCAAAATGACGCGAATTCAAAGACAGCCCTGGCTGCCAAACAGCGGGTTCTGTCTTTCCTCACCATGAGTGCAGATGACAACTTCTTTAAGGCCACTTGGACACTGCAGACTGTAGACAAGGTAAAACGACAAAACTTTCACTGTTTGTGTACTGGTAGGCCGGTGGGTGGGTGATCCATAGATAGTATGCTTATGTTCTTGTGCTTCATGACCCATTTTCTGCTGAACTCCATCCCACTGAGTCAGCGGAGATGATCTTGGAGGCCACTCTTGATGAGACGTGCATCCTACCATCGACAGGGGATGGAAGGCGTGGTAGCAAGGGACGCAAGCCGAGGAGTTCCACCAAGAAGGAGGCCAAGAAGGTAGATATCCCAACCCATCGGTTGCGCACGGCCACGAAGACCATCACACAGTTGAAGTTCATCCAGGCCTCGTTCAGGGATATTGACGGCAAGATTCAGGGCTTTTATGGTGATCACAACGAGATGCGGGAGAAGGCCCAAGCTTTGAAGTCCAGCGGCGTCAATGAGGACCGTATCATGACCGATGCAAGCCTCAACCTTCAAGATTCCACGGCCCTTGTCAGGCTGATGTACACTGTGATTGACAGGCATCGCCTTCTCCAGATTCTCAGTCTTGGTTCTGACTGCATGAAACTCGATGGGCTTCCTGATGTACTGAGAGATGACGTTGACCATGCTACCCTCAACGCTATAAACATGTTGAAGGGTGACCCTTTCTTGGCAGAGAACGCTCAAGACATCAAGTCCTACTTTGAGTTCAGAAACGTCGAGGTACTTTTTGAATCGCTGACTGACAAGGAGGAGATTGACAACCTTCACGAAGACATCAAGAATGTGATAAAGTCTGTCAAAACGTGCGTGACAGCCATTCGCAGGACCATGAGTGACTATGTTCAAATGGTCAAGTCCACTACAAAAGCCAGAGAGAAGTTCGAGGAGCAAATTGCCAAGGCCAACAACCAGAAGGCCACACATGGAGGGCTCCATGGCCGGCCCAATCTTCAGAACATCCTGGACACAGACCCTGAGGTTTTGAAGCACTTCAAGTGACTTGGCTCCTGTTTACCGGTGAAAAGTTTCTATTTTGTGGGCTGTGCGGGTTGTGGCATTGGTTCCCTTTCTTGACAATTATTTTTCACGCGGGTTGTGGGGGGATGGTGACGGCCACGCGAAACAAATAAGGCTGCTGAATAGCCGGCGTCCGATGGCTGTCGTCAAAGACATGACGGACAAAACTGATATGACTATGCCAGTGGTGGTTCGCAAGGGCCGCAACACGCTGGCGACCATTTGCAAGGAAGCCAGCACCAGAAAGTTCTTTGACAACATCATCGAGGCGCTCAAGGAGAGAACTTCAAGCGGTCAGAAGAGTCGACTTACGTGCCTGCACTGCACTGTGTACAGTTTAATTTGTTGGCAGTGTCACTGCGTCACGTCAACAAAAGCCTCTGTCTCTCCTGACTTGACATTCAACCATTCCTTTTGAATGCATTGAAATTTGGTACCGGAGAACTCAAATAAGGGCCATGGTGGGCACCAAGACTGCTGATGGCAGCGAGGATCCCGATGCCAAGAAGGCCCTTGCAGAGGCGCAGGGCGCCTTCCAAGCCTTCTTGCCGGACAATCTTGCACACATGGGATTGGTTGTCACGGAAAACCAGCTTTCGGACGCGAAGTTTGGCTTCGACGTCCCAGACGCCAAGAACCAGGCAATGTCTGAACTTCTTAGTCTGTCAGTGTGTGGCATGCAGCAATACAGTTCCTACGCCGGGATTGAGAACAATGCGATTGGAAATCTCAGACTGCAGGCGTCTTTGAGTCCAATGTGCATCAAATTGTTTCAAACCATTTGTGTTTGGGGGTGGACAGGTTGATCATCGATGGTATGGTTTGGTGAAAAATCTACAGTAGATTTGATTTGATTATGGAATTGCAATGACACTACACTGTGTTGATCGACAGGTCATGGGAACCAAGATTGTTATCATGGCAAGAGTGCTGGATTGCATGCGATTCTTTGAGACCAAATCACTCCAGATAGCTCGCGATCGTCTGCAGTCTCTAACAGCATCGCAATTGCCAGATGAGATGAGCTACCTGACACACAGCTAACTAGCCACACTGTGTTGACCGTTGGGCTGGAGCTTTTTCAAACTTTCAAACCTGAATTGTTTTCTCCTGCCCGGGCCCGTGCGACGAGTAACTAGGAACTGGCAGTTGGTAATGAATCTGTGAATCGCCCTGAGGTATGCCAAGTCTCGTCGCTGGTTTCATCAAAACTGGCGATGTATGGTACACTCCGGCTGGAATGCTGATCTGCGAAAAGGCTTTGACCGATGTCAGTGTGGCCTTAAGGCAAGGGCTTGTTCAAAAAGTTACACTGTGTTCACTTTTGGACAGTATATATGTCAAAACCTTTGCAGGGTTTTGATCAACTTTGGTTGTCGTATGTCTGGAAACAAATGCATAAACGCCCCTAATGCAATTGACTATCGCTGTGTTCCGCGGTAGTGGTTATGTTGATGGAACGCGTTTTCAGGACCAATGTGCTGTTCTTCACGGAGGAGCTAAGCAACAACTTTGATGTTGTTGCATCGCAGGCCGGACACACGCCCGAAGATGAACAAGGACGCTACTACGGGCTCCTGGCCTTACTACTAGGAACAAGGAGGCTGCTGGTGCCGCTGCTCTTGCTGCGCGGGGGGGGGTGCGTGTGGTGAGGTGGCCCACGTCCTTCCCCGTGCTTGTGCTGGCTGCTGCTGCCTTGCTGCCCGGGGGGGGGGTGCGTGTGGTGAGGTGGCCCACGTCCCTCCCTGGTGCCTTTGCTGGCTGCTGCTGCCGCTGCTCTTGCTGCACGGGGCCCACGTCCCTCCCCGTGCTTGTGCTGGCTGCTGCTGCTTTGCTGCCGGGGGGGGGGGGGGGGGGGGGGTGGGGGGGGGGGGGGGGGGTGGTGCGGTGAGTGTGGTAGGGGCTCCTGGCCTTACTACGGTAGGAACAAGGACGCTACTAGGGGCTCCTGCTACGAACAAGGACGCTACTAGGGGCTCCTGGCCTTACTCTAGGGGCCTGGCCTTACTATTATAGGAACACGGACGCTAGCTGCGATTCTATATATCCCTGTGCTGTAATATGCGTGTCAAGAACATGTCAAATGTAAATTGTAGACTATGGCCAACCGTCCCAACCCGTGTCCAGGTGAAGCAAGCTGATGCAGTGGATTTGCTTCTGGAGGTCTTGCCAGAGCAGGAAGACCAGGACGAGGCACAACCAGTTTCAGGGTCCGTCATGGTGCCTAAGATAGAGGCAGAAGACGCAGAGCAGACGGATGCTCTCGATGATTTCGAACGTCATTTGGAGAGGGTAATCCAGAGTGAGCCTGGGCCTGCAGCTCCAGGGTCACCACCAGACACTGGAGCCACTATCGCCAAGCCTCATGACCAAGACGCAGGAGAGACAGGCGCAACCCCACCGCCCAAGCAGGATGAAGTGTCTGAGGAGATGGCGCTCGAGGCGGGAAGGAGAGCTGCAAGAGATTTCATAGAGGAAAACGGCAACCCCCTCTCCGACGCGATGGCAGTCGTTCCAGCTTCAACTCAGCTGCCCGACCCACCGACCAAGACTGTGGGGGAGCAGCCGCAGCATGCTGCACTGCCTGAGCCACCGGCCGAGGCTCCAGAGAGTGAGGGCAATGGCAAGCCAGCCGAGGCTCCAGAGACTGAGGGGAATGGCAAGCCAGCCGAGGCTCCAGAGACTGAGGG